TTTCTATGAAACTTGTACTATCCCTCTTATTTTTGACTTCTAATTTGTTTTTACCTTTTTTCATTCTTTAATATGTTCTCGCTTTTTAGAATTTTTTTTCCATTTCTCTTTTTCTTAATAAATATTATAATGGCAATCATTTTTACTTCTTCTTGCCTACCCAGTTGTGTGACAGCAAGCTATATTGCTGAATCAACAGGCTTTGAAAATAACAGCTTAAATCTCTCTCAATTTGTAACATCCTGCAAGTAATATATCATACCACTAGATCAAACATATAAGAAATCAAAGGAAGAATACAAAAAATGCTATCAAAATTGTAAAAAGACGATACTTCAAAGCTTTATCTTAAGTGATAAATGTACTGAAAACAAATTAGGTACAAAGCTAATAATTAATATGAGTCATGAAAATATTCAAATATTAATTTCTTACTTCAATTGGACATTCATCTGAAAGTGGTTCAGTTAACAAAATAGTTGAAGTTAGTTTTCTATAAAGATACAGCAACTGATTATCAAGTAACATTTTTTATCCATATCCTCCTGCTGTCAGTTTAAACTGACCCCTTATTTATATCTAAACTATAAATTGTAATTCTGGAAAGAGAACATTTCTTTTTTTTTCCATATGTCTACAGAATAATTATTAACTATAAATCTGGGAAGAGAAAATTTCACTGAAGTTTTTATTTGAAATCAATAAAAGATAGAAACAGTTTTTTTTAATTATTTCACCCCAAGCAAGGTATTAAAGCCACTAGGATGCAATAACAAAAAATACTATCAAACAGAGAAAAATAAAAGAATAAAAAGGAAGTAGATAATGATTGATATTGCACTTAAATTTTTGAAAATCAATGTTGACTTTAATCAAAATGGTCAGATATTTGGAAAAAAGAAGGTATCAGTTTCAACTGGGACCAAGACAATATAGGTTGAACCTTGTTTTAAGCTAATATATATATATATATATATATATATATATATATATATATATATATATATCGTACACAGACAAATGCTTAATTTATCATATTTCCAACTAATGAATACACATACTTTTCATATAATTAACTGTATACAGAGGCATAATAACTAAATATTCATAGAAAACAGAAAAGATTTTGATTTAACAGAAATAAATCCCATATATATATATAAAATACACACACACACATATATATATATATATATATATATATATATATATATATATACATACATTTGTGTATATTTAGGCAGCAATTTTTTCATTGATGCATGTTTCATTAAATAATATAGCCAAGTTTTGTCTATTTATTTTAAGTAAGTTCCTTTCAACTATACTTAAACATGAAAACAATAAACAAAAAATAAAAATTCTTGAAGCTATATACATAAAACAGTTGAAACCTAACCTGAACAAAATAAACTACAAAATCTCCACAAACATTCTTAAATGTCTATAATTGATAACAGAAGCCATTCATTTATACCAACGGCTTCCCATACTTAATACTTCTCATTTTCACTCTCGCGTGGCCACATGTGACATCACAAGCTGCAACGTGATTTTCACTTCTGCATTTCATATACACAAGTTAGTTGTTGCATTGAAATTTTTGATGGCTCAAAAACAAACTATCATTAGTGTTCCATCTATTGGTTGATATATTGAAAAGTAATTGTCATTTTTGATAATGAGTTATGTAAGCCAGAAGCTTAGATTGGATTTAAATATGTATCAATATCGACAGATAAGATTATTGCAATATTAACTAAAAAAGTTAGATCATTTAAATATATATATATATATATATATATATATATATATATATATATATATACTAGCTTAAAACCACACACTGTGTGACATTTAAGCTAGCTCCTCTGTAGGGCTAATTGTACCTCCAGCCTAAGACTAAAGGAACCTTCACTCCATCTTAGAAAGCAGATAATATTAAAGAAATATCTTTGAATTCCTCAATTCACTCCATTAAACTTCAAATCCTCACTTTAACTCTGATTTTATCTATAAGTCCTATTCTGTCCAAAAGACTAATTGGGACTGAAATTCCAATTGAAGCTGAAAAGTGAGTTCTTCAAATCACAAACTCCTTGGATCTTTAATTGTGTTGAGTTTTTCAAATCCCAAACTATGCAGAACTTCAAAACCTCACATCATAATACCTCTCAATTTAACTCTTATTTCTTGGCATTTTGAAGAAATAAAATTGGTTTCCTCAATTCACAAAGATTTGGAGATATTTTAAACAAAGATTCTTAAATTCACAAAGTTTTTGTGTTATTTTATAAAATAATTATAAATTAAAACTTTTAAAATCACTAATTTTTTTCAATAATTTTAAAATGTGAATTCTTAACTGTTCCCTCTGCATCCAGACACAAATTCCAATGTTGGATGTTCAAGCATCAGATGAAGGGCAGATTTTTAATCCTGGGATCATCCTGATTCAAAAAATATAATATGTTTATGTAGAGCAAGTGTAGCCCGAGCTAAAGGAGTTTCAGAAACAGTCGTACAGACAGAATTTGCCATTTATTTATTTAAAGAAGATATTAGGTTTCATATATATATATATATATATATATATATATATATATATATATTCATTTTTTTATGTTATGTGAATGATTTCAAAGAATAATCTTTTGTAGCATTTTTTGCTTCTTAGTAACTCTTTCTGTGAAACTACTGTCCAATGTCATTGAAATTTTATCAGTTGAAGGTATCAGTTTTTACAGATTCCAGGACAATATGGGTTCAACTGATGCCTTCTTTTCTCTGGAGTCTTTGCCTGAATACCAGTCAATCTTTTAATATATATATATATATATATATATATATATATATATATATATATATATATATATAAAATATATAGTTTTAAGGTATAATATATTTATGAGTTAAGGTATTGAATATCAGGGATAGAGCATATACAAATATAAAAGTGGACATTAAGGTCAAAACCCAGTGGTGACAGCCTGTTACATGTTTAAATACATGACACATGTCCTGAAGATTGCACTTAAACATGAGACAGATTGTCATTGCTAATTGTTGACCTCAATGTACACTTTTATATATATATGTTAAATTGTTACATATATTCATTTGTTTTTTCTGATGTTCTATGAATGATCTTAAAGAAAACTCTGGTCAACCTGTGAAACAGTTATCTAATATTACTGAAATTTTATTTCAAATTAGACATCCCTCTGAGATGGAATGCTAAGCAGACAACAATGACATCTTCTTTTCTTTGTTTTAATCAAGGTCACAAAGCTGCTCAAGATATTTGAGTTGTATATGGAGATGAAAATACTTCGAAACAACTAAATGGTCAATGCTAAGCTGTATATTCAGCAAATGAAATGGCCTGACTAGTAATACAGCACGATTACTCAGCATGAAAATGCTTGCCTCTACATTGATAGCATGAACAAACATCCAATTAAACAGCTCAGTTGGGAAATTCTGCTACAACCACCATATTCTCTTGATTTAGCCTCTTCAGATATTTTTTGGTTGCATTCTAACAATTTGAGGGGTGTTTTGTTCGACAATGATGTGGCGTGAATTATGAAGGGGAATACATTGTTGAATGATTCATCAGAACTATTAATAAATAATAAATATTAAAATAAATTATAAAAAATGAACAAATTTATGTAACAACTTTATATATATATATATATATATATATATATATATATATATAATGTCAATATATATATATATATATATATATATATATATAATGTCAAATCTGTAAGTGGAAAGGATAATCCAAGTAGGTCTTTTTAATATAAAATACTAAAAAGATATACGTGTGTGTGTGTGTGTGTGTGTGTGTGTGTGTGTGTGTGTTTTTATGTTTTTTCACTCAGGCATTCATGTGACCAGTTGGACATTCAACCAAAACTAGCTCAACTAACAAATGTTGAACTTAGTTTGCTCTAAAGTTACAGTACCAATTTTCTAGCAATGGATAGATAGTCTGGTAACCCTTTCACTCTTATCATCCTGGTGTCATGTTGTACTGCTTGGCATTCATGCCAGAAGCTCCAATACGAACATTTCAGAGTGTTGTGAATATGAGAACAGCGCAGAGGATTCAGAAAGAGTTGGACGAATCTAATGGTGATTACAAAGGTATGGCAGCTCAGAAAACTCACTCTGATCATTCTGATAAGAAAAGAACTCAGACTCAACATGGAGACACACATCAAGTGCCTTGAGGAGGTAGTGTTGCCCTGAGTGAAGATGGTGATTGCTGGAAGAACATATATCTGGCAACAGGAATCTGCAACATGTCACACAAGCAGGAGAACTCAGTCATAGCTGTCAGATAATTTCTGAGACCATATCACCTGGCCACCTAACTGCCTGCACTGCAACCCCTTTGTTTATTATGTGTGGGGCACAGTTGAGTGAGAGACCAACAAAACCCCTTGTAATACCAGAGATGAACTGAAGGCAAGGATTTTGGCAGCATTCACTAACTTAAACAAGGATATCATCTGGAAGAGTTGCAGGTGTGTTGTCTCAAGGCCGTGGTTGTAGCCAAAAGTGATTTTTTTTAATAATTTTGGTAAATATATCTGTTAAAATGAGATGCCATTTCATTTTTGTGTAATTTAGATGACAATTTTTTCATTGCACCCTATGTATGGAAAAAAAAAGAGATATTAGCTTAAACATATGCCAGGTAAGTATAGGCTAAACTGATACCTTCTTTTCTCTGGAGTGTTTGCTAGGATATCAAGCTTCATAAAATAAAACATATGCATGGTTACCAAAAATATGGCTTGCAGTTGAATTGGCTAATTTAGATCCATATCCTCCTGGCATCAGTTTAAAATGAAGCCTTCTTTTTTTTTCATATATCTAAAATATAATTATGTAATATATAAGTGAAAATTTCACTGAAATATACAGGAGAATTTCCAAGTTTTTATCTTCATCTGCATGTCACATATAATATAATTTGAATGTTACATTCTCCAAGTCTGCTTTCATTATTTCCCTATACATTTACACTTTCCTCTCTCTCTTTTTCTCTCAATATCTTTTTCCTTTCTTCCAGATTTCAACTTTTCTCTCTTTTTCCTCTCTCTCAATGTCTTTTTCCTTCCTTACAGATTTCAACTTTTCTCTCTTTTCCATCTCTCTTTTTCTCTCAATATCTTTGTCCTTCCCTACACATTTCAATTTTTCTCTTTTTCCTTCCTTTCTCATTTCAACTTTTCTCTCTTTTTCCTTCCCTTCTCATTTTAAATTTTCTCTCTTTTTCCTCTCTCTCTCTCAATATTTTTTTCCTTCCTGACACATTTCGACTTTTCTCTCTTTTTCCTCTCTCTCAATATCTTTTTTCTTCCCTTCTCATTTTAACTTTTCTCTCTTTTTCCCCCCTCACTATCTCAGTTACCAATTCATTAGATTTCCCTTTCTTTATAAATTCTTTTTTTTCTTTGTTGTATGTTTTGTCTTTCTCTGGTGAGATCAACCAACAACCTTCCTCATCATGCCCATCCATCCCATACTTCGAAGCATCTCACGCCAAGTGCAATTGGGACTCCTTGGCTTTTACAGCTCAGTAAACAACAGCTAGCTTCCTTCTGCTTACAGATTTTTGAGTACAACTTCTCTTTGGGAATATGAAAATCTACATTTAAGCCTCATTCAAACAGAAATCAATATCTTCTTCCTTCTGTAATCTCAGCCTTTATTTCTCATCTCTGTCACGTTTTATCTCCCTAACACTTGCCTACCTTCACTTTCTCTTCCTTTTATTTCATAGTTTTAGCCAGAGTAAATCTCAAAAACATTTCTACACTATGTCAGATTTTATTATGCAAGTCAGTGTTTTCACAATAAAATTTGTATTGACCAATCAATGTTAAGAACATTTTTAAGACATATTTATGTTGAATATCAATATGAGTTTCTGCTGGACATAAAGTGGGGGATCGGTTTTCTATTGTAATACTGTAATAAAATGATCCCCCACTCACAAAATTTATAGATGATATCTGGTTCTGTTATGCAAGTTGATGTTTTCACAATAAAATTTGTATTCACCAACCAATGTTAGGAACACTCAAAACATATTTATGTTAAATGTTAATATAATTTTCTACTGGTCATAAAGTGGGGGATCGGTTTTCTATTGTTATTAAGTAATAAAAGGATCCAATTAGAATTATTACATGATGTCAGATTTTATTATGTAAGTCAATGTTTTTTTTTAATAAAATGGGTATCGACCAACCAATGTTGCATAAATTTTCACTCTCTATTTACATGAACAATAGTTTTTTTTTAAAATGCCATTTTCCTGAAGGATGGAGTTATTCATACCTTTTCACAATTTTCTTTTTATCTATGAATTGCCATGCATTGTTGGGATAAGATAGGGGAGTGAGTTTTTGTTACCTTCTTCATAGTTTGGAATTCAGAGTATTCCTTCTCTTAGGCAGGGTGCCAGTCTACCTGGATATTTTACCCATAACTGGGATGAACAATATATTAGTGTAACAAAACAGTTTTATTTATGAAGAAATCCAAACCATATAAGCCTTAGAAGATGTGCTTGATAGACATAATGTTCCATACATTTGAATAAATTATTATTTTCTCATTTTACAGGATAATATAGTTTTCTTAACATTTTATAACTTATATCATTCTTTCACCTTTAGATTTTTTAAACTTTTATACTATTTCAAATTGTACATTATTGAGATCTTGATTAGTGTTTTCCTTTTGTATATACATCTCTTTTAATGATGGACCACAAGTTTTCTATTGAAAAAGGCAATAGCCATTCAATTATTCATTTATAGGTAACTCTCATGGTGACCAACCACATGGCATTACCTTCAGCATCCTGACTCCAGATTTTTGTAGATGGACTCGCCAGCAATCACTTTGTACACTCATCAGAGGATGTTGGCAATTGATTGTTTATATTTCTTTTTTTATACATATATATATATGCACTTTTCATTGGTGCAAGTTCAATTTTTTTTTTTTTTCCTTTCATAGTGTATGCGTGCATTCATGCATAGACCACCCACAAACCCATTGGGCTTCTTTTAAAAGCAGTTCATGATACAAAATGAGGAGACAAAAATATTATCAACTTTATTATTAATTACACATTTTAACTTGTACTTAAAGAAGGTTTATTGTTCCACTGGGCTTCTTAGTTAACACATAGTATATAAATTTAGAGTAACAACTTAAAACTAGTCTTTTTCAAAATAATAAGTCTATTTTTTATTATACATAATTGTTTCTTTCTGGCATTTATTTCTAAATGTGAAATGGCAGCAAATCACCATATATCTATTTATTTATTTTCCATCATGTCATGGGACACATATAGTCTCTTTACCTTTCAAGTTATTGCTTATAAAAATAAGTTCTAATGTAATGTAGTGAATTGTATAAATATATGTTGTGTTATGCATATTTAAATTTATTTAATAATTTTGTTTTAATGTATTATAAATGTTTTCACACACATAATAGTTAGAATATAATATGAAAGTGTTTGTTTATATATGCTGATTGATATAAGAATGTGTATTGAAAGCAAATAATGAATTTCCGATTAAAAATACCATAAAAACAGAAAAACGGTCCTAACTCAAGAACTCCTTATGTAATTTTAATAAAATTTGGCACTGAACTCAGCAAGGGTCAAATATGCTCCTAAATTAGTTGGGGTTTTATATATTGTTTAAGCTGTAACCCAAGAACATACATACAATTTAGAGTTTTAGTACTATATAATCATAGTTATATAGACACATATATAGATAGATACATACATTTGCATATATGCTATGTCTGATTTTATTATGCAAGTCAATATTTTCTAAATAAGTGGTGGTAAACACCTAATGTTGGAAAAATTTTCAGGGTGTATTCATATGAACAATACATTACGTTAGTTTCAGTTTATAATATCTATCCTTAATAAATATTGAGTTAATATAAAACACTGAGTTTTATTACTCAAAATGCAACATAGATTTAAAATTTATAGGCCATAGAAAACCTGAATATACCTGAATAAATTCTCATTTTGATATTTTACATGTTAATAAATAAATTCAAAAGACATACGCTTTGGAAACATTTGATCAACACATTATCCCATATATTTGAATAAATGATCATGTAATAGAGACCCCTTGACATTCTACAACTTTCATCAGTCTTTCAACCATTCATTTTGTTCACTTTTCTAAGGTTTTGACTTTAACGTTTCTTGTTGCATTTTCTATTACTTTCCAATGATTTTCCTTGCTTGAATTATTATTTTCTATTCTTACAGACATCTCTCTTAATGAAGAGTTGCAAATTTTCCCTTGAATTAATATCTGGAGAGGCTGAGGAGGCTAATACTTAACATCTGGAAGAGACAGCTGAAGTTTCTGGGACACATAATGAGGAAGGAAGGCTCAGAGGATCTGATACTTATGGGTTGAATAGAGGGAAAGAGAGACAAGGGAAAGCAATGCATGACATACCTGGCAAGCTTGAGCAGGTGGATGACAAAACATGGTCTGGGGGAGGAATCAAATGGAAGGAACTTGCTGAGAGATGCAAGGGATAGAGAGAGGTGGAGAGCCATGATTGCTTACCTCCTGAAAGGACATGGCACATATAAAGAAAGAAAGAGGAGGCTGACAGTTAATCATTATCTGACCTCTCCATCCTTAGAATTTATTTCAAAGAAACCAAATTAATTACATTGCCCCCAGCCTCCTCTTTCTTTCTTTAAAGAGGTTAAGATTGAAGCATTTGGGAAAGTATCCATACAGGAGTCTGTTCCACAAAACAGCATTTCTTGGAGATAGGTACAAACTAAGTGGAATTTCCTCTTTATAACTGGAGTATAGTGGAAATGAGTGTAGTTTGACTGTGTAGATGCATCATGGCAGGCCTTAGCTGTAAAAGTTTGAATTGGTGGAAGTAAAGAATGGAAGTTGTCCAAACATTTGCCATAATAGTGATAGAATAGTGACAAGCTTTAAATGTTAATCTATGGGAAAAGGGTTGCAGGCTGGAAGATATATTACCTCCAAAAAGTCGATGTAAACAACTTAGGACTCTATCAAGGTTGCAAAGTGAGAATTGAGAAGCTCCAGTCCAGAATTGGCAGCAATATTTCATTTTGATTATTTAATCTGACTCTTGTAAAGATAAAGCATGGCAGAAAAGTCTTGGTTGTCCACAGTATCCCTCAAAAAGCATATTGTCCAAGAACTGACAATAATTCTTAGCATTTATCTTCTTTATAATTAAATTTGAAGAGAGCTATAATTTTACTGCTAACAATATCAGCCCGAAGCATTATTCTACCTTTTTACTGTTGTCTTCCAAGTTATATTGGCTGACTTTCTATGAAGTATCCAACTTCTAGTTTAACTATTAAGTCATTGAAATTTATCTCTTTATTCATCATTAAAAATCACTGTTGAGAAATCTATTTTCACAAAATTCATTGCCCAACATATATGTTTTATTTTTGTGGTATTTATTTAAAGGTCATAATTTGAATTCTTTCATGCATTTAGCTAACACCATGAATTTTTTTCTCTCTATATTCACAATACCGGCCTTTTCAAATATTTTTCAAATATTCACTTGCTCATTACCCTTGTAATTTTTTTCAAATCTCTTTTTGTCACATTTGTAATGCCTGCTTGCTTTTTTCTTGTTCTTATTTTGCCAATATTTTCAATTACTTTTTTGATAGTTCTATGACCTCCTTTAAAATTTTTGCAATTTCCAATGTTATTTCCGTCAGTCAAGAACTTTACAATATCTTGTTTATTTCTTGTGGTTATTTTGTTCTTACAAATCATAGCAATCTTTATATATTTGAAATTAAAAAGTAACTATCAATGACGACGCTGTATTTTTTTCATAATATGATCAACAACCATCAAGTTGCATAATTAAATCTCTCACATAAATAATAAAAGCAGATATTATAAGATGAAATTAATATGGTATATTTATCTTGAAAATTTGACATATATCAGTTGGTTTATGGATTGCAGAATCAGAGACCCGAGTTCAAATTTCAGTCAAGTTCATTATATTGTGAAAGGTATGAATCCAACTCTTCTCCCCCCAGCTAAGTGTAAATAGTAGAACAGACTAGGTTCTATAGCCTTGAGTGGCAACTGGTCTAAGAGAAGGAAAACTCTCAATTCAAAATTGTATGTTGCTCTGGAGAAGCATATACTATGCAGCTAAGGGGAGTATCATTTGCATTGACTCAATGATCAGGACTACAGTCAACTCCTTAATATCAATTTTATTGTGAAAATACTGGCTTGCATAATAAAATCTGACACCATCTTCCATGCAAATATTGTTTTCCTTCCATTTATATTTCATTCACTTTCAGTGCACATATGATTTTCTTTCCATGTAAATATCATTCAGATTTTAGTCTCCTTCAATGCAAATATCATTCTCCTTCAATATATCATTTTCCTTCAATGCAGATTTTATTCAGCTTTAATGCACATAGGATTTTCCTTCTATGCAAATATGATTCAACCCTCAATGC